ATGGGTGTAAATTAGAAGCATGGAAAAAAAAAGACATGTACGTGGGCTGATGATTTTTTTTTCAATATTTCGACCGTGATAAAGCAAAGATCGGTTGAGTGTGTGTGTTGATGTGCAAGAAGCGCTTTGAGAACTCGAAAAAAAAAGACGCGAAAAAGTATGTTCTCATATAACTGCCTTTGTGTTTCCGGAAGTGTATATATATATGTGTATGTGAAACGCTTGAAAAAAAACTATCTATAAAAAATAAGTCCCAGTTTGAAATATAGTGACTGAAAAAAAACAGAAATTCGAATTCGATGAACCTGATCTGAAAAAATGAACAACTGAGCATCTGAAAGCAAAAGAAGCTCAAACCTACACAAAGCTGGTATAAGCTCGATAAAGAGGGAAAACAGGAACACGAAAAAAAAATGTAGGTGAAGAGAATAGAGATAATGAAGGAAAAAAAATAAGAAAATAAAGATAGAAAGAAAGAAAAAAGAAAGAACATACGAAAAAAAGTTCTTCATATTTCCCCTCGTGAGTGAATAGCGGATATCGAAAAATAGGTTAACGAAGAGGAAGTAGAAATTAAAAATAATGATGATAAAACAGAGAAAAAGAACTATACTGGATTTTGAAAGGGACATTGACAAGGCACGTACCGAATGCCCCTTCATGGAACTTCTGCTAACATACAAACAAACAAATATACTACTGATAGTCATGTGTATTGATTTAGTTATGATTCAGCGACATTCTAAAAAGGTTCTAATCTTGATGTCTTTATAGATGGGTCAGTAAAAATTATGTTTCAAAAAAACTATGGTTTTATTCTGCCTAATTCCTTCACTGAATGTTATTACTGTTATAAATATTATAGATGTTATAGACATATCGATGAAATCCTTTTGAAATACAGAGCGCAGACTTCAATTATTTCCTCTAAAAATGCTGAAAAAAGGTGTCCCACTTAGATACGTCTTTGCAATAAACATGAGTCTGCAATTCATCATTTCAACTTGTATGAGATGGAAAAAATCTATCTTTTATTAGATATTTACTGTCATTTTCCGCTGCCTCTCTCTCTCTCTCTCTCTCTCTCTCTCTCTCTCTCTCTC